ATTATATACATATATATCAAGGACTACTATACTCACATTATATAAATTATATATATCTGCCTCCCCTGCCCCACTAACCCTCTCTTTCACTCTCTCTCACTTGCGTTTTCTGGCCTCATTTTTTTCCTTGTGCGTGTCTGTCACGTGACCACCACGATCCTGTGCTCTGCGTAAAACGTTTAGGTGTGTCACTGTATTACGTTTTGCTTGTAGCTGTTTTTTACTCTGGCCAGCTGATGATGACAGCTGATCTTACTGACTAGGCTACTGTTTCAGACCGAAGGGCTAGAACTCATTGTTGATCCCTTGATGGGAGGAAGGAAAATAGCAGCAACTGTTTTCATAGAGTTATAGTATAAGTTATTCGTTTAAATAAGAGTTAAAACTCTTGCATCGCTTATAGGTCATATAAAGTGCGCCACCGTATCTTTTGGACTCATGGTGAACAAGGTAAGCACATCTTTCTAATACGATTGGCCAGTGGTTGTGTAATAATGAGGGAAAAAATTCTCGTCGAGGTCATGATAGATCTAGATCTAGGCTAAAAAATAGATTTGCTGTCTATTTCTTTCTTATTTTTCTAGTTCACTATTTTATGAGGATTGTTCAGTTTGATTTCACGCTTCCCCCTAAAAAAGCTTTCATTACTTCAGGATCCCTAGCTGTTGTTGGTGTTGTAATTGTTGCTGTTGTCGTTTTTATTGTTGTTATTGTTGTTGTTGTTATTGTTCTTGTTGTGTGAGTCTGTGTATGTGTGTCATACTTTACACTCACACGTATTCTCCTTGGTGTAAGTCTATTTGGGTCCGTTTTGAACTGTCCCAATCTTACCCCCCCCCTCCCCCCAGCTCACCTTATAATAATTTAGGCTTTCATTAAGATTGTCACTGTTTCCTAGGGCTGTTGTGCTCGCTAAATTAGAATTACAAATTTCTATCTGATATATTTTGGCAGTTTTGAGTTACTAAGACCATGATATCAGAAAACAAATATTTTATCTGCTCTTTCAAAATCATAAGATTATTCGGAGTTATTATCGTGACATTCAAAGAATTGCATTCCATAAAGATTGATACATTGTGAAACTCAATTTTTTCAACGTTAAATTTCTCATAAGCAGGTACTGAGCTGATAGAACGTTGTAGATCTAATGATTCTGAGGTAACGAACTGTAGACTAATTTGCTGCACTTTCTCTGCTCAGGGTGTATGTAATTGTTGAACCAAGTTCTAGAGCAGATGGTGGTACGGGCAACATTGCATGCATGAGAAACTGGACTCATAGAAAGAGATATGTTATCATAACGTTTGGTTTCATTCTTTGCGCTGTTAGATGACGATACTGTTTTTTGTTTTAACCCCTTTCACAGCGACGCCAGCTGTTATCCCAGGCTTTTGTTATAGTTACAGAGTACGCCTGGATGGAAGTGTCAGCTTGTAAAGAGGGTCTTTTTGTAATTATTACTAATTATAGTGGTGGCTTGGAGAGGGGGAGGGGTTTTAAGGGAGCTGTGAGAAGGGAACGGAGGGCACAGTGTGCCTTATGCACACGTTTGTACAGAACTGGGAGTTTGACTAAATTAGCCTATACTTATAAGTAAGGATGGAGTGCAGTAGTCTTTCATCTCGTCTGATTTTTCCAAGATGGTTTTGTGTTGATCATGGATGCTCTTTAGAAGTGACAGAAGAGGTTAAATTATTCTCTCTCTCTCTTTCTCTCTCTCTCTCTCTCT